CCTACACTTACGACTCGGGCATCCACTCCGGCGTCAACACCCAGGTGCCCTCCGTCAGCAGCAAGTGCGTCGGGGACGACGACGAGGTCTACGGCAAGCAGTACACCATCAAGAAGACCACCACGAGCTACTGCCAGGGAGGGGGCCAGGGCCAGAGCCAAGTGCAAGGTAGGGGCTGCGGGGCCCTGGGGGGTGAGCAGGCATGGGGCTCGTCTGCGGGCTCAGCTGCTCAGTTCCTGCCTTCTTCCACCTCCCCCACAAACTCTCCCATGGCCTGTGCTTACTGTGCTTATTCTGGGCACTCCTCCACGGAGCCTTCCACACCCTGGGAGTTGTTGCTGCTTAAAATACACTCCCTCCTGTCCTCCTTCCCCTGCGCTGAAAGGCTCTTGCGTCGAGGCGGCGCACAGCCAGCCCGCGCTAGTGCTGAGCTGGGCGCACACATCCAAGCATGCCGGTCGGTTGGCTCGAGATAGGAACATCTGATCCCAGCCCACGGATCGGCCGTCTGCTCTGCTACCTGCCTGCTCGGCAAACCTGTCTCGGCGCAGCTTGCAAACTTGTTGCTGTATGCTATAAATCCCTAACGGCTGTCCCGTCTTTTTCTGCTGCCCCTTTCCTCTGTTGCTAGGGCAAAGCAGAGGGAGCTGCAACCCATAGTGCCAAAGGAGATGCTTCCCCTCAGTTTACCCCTTAAAAGAGGGTTGAGTTGCTCCAGTCGCTTCTGAGGTTTTCCCTTGAGGCAGGGGCCCTGGAAAGTTTAAGCCCCAGTTCCCATGGGGAGGCAGAGCCCTGTGGAGAAGTGCAAACCCTCCTGAGCCCGGTGCGGTCCCTGCTCCGCGTGTGGAGGTGGGAACTGCAGATCTCCACCAGGGATGGGATCAAACCATCCCAGGTTCCTGGCTACGGCAGCTCTGCCCCTCTGGGCTTTGTTTGTCCCAGCAACCTCAAGGGGGAAGGTCTCCATATCCTTTTCCTAATCTCCAATGCCATCTGGTCCCGAGTTGCAAATACCCTTAATTTTTTAATTAACGGGCCTTGTGTGACAATTGCTTAATCATGCTGCTTAATTGAGTGTTGTCTTATCTCTGTGCTGCCGTATCTGTTTACACTTTGAAGCCCTGGCTCCTTGCAGAGCGTGCTGGGACTGCTGACGTTGCTGGTGTCATTGCGCTATGTTCTTGCTCAGCTAATTGAAATTGGGAAGCAGCGCTGGGAACGCTCCTCGGGGAGAGCCTGGAGTCTAACGCTGCCTCCCTGTCTCTCCCTGCAGCAGATATGGAGGCTCAGCTGGCCATGACCCGGGCCCAGCGTGTCCGGGCTGCCATGTACCCCGAGACCGTGGAGGATCGTTCCCTGCTCATCACCACCCAGATAGAGGGGCAGCCGACCAACGTGCAGCGCCTGGCGGAGCCCTCGCAGATGCTGAAATCTGCCATCGTGCACCTGATCAACTACCAGGATGATGCAGAGCTGGCCACCCGTGCGATCCCAGAGCTCACCAAACTGCTCAACGACGAGGACCCGGTAAGAAAGCACGTTTTGCTTGAGTGTGTCTCTGGGCTTCCTGCTGCTGGGGCAATGCTTTCCCAGCCACGGCACCACAGCCAGGCTCTCTTCCCTGCGGGGTCCGCTACCACTTGCAGCTCTGACTTGGCTCTTGAGACTGGCTTTGCACTGACACTGAGAGCTTCTTGCCTGCTCTCAGTGCTCCAGATCCCTGACCCTCTGCCTTCCTATCCCTGCAAAGTGCCATGTACCGTAGCCCGGACCATACGCTGCTTGCTGCTGCTAACTGCAGTGTAGTTCCTAGAGCAGCGTGGATGAGAATTGTCAAAAATAGCGGTCCTCGAATGCACTGGCTGTGCAGGCTCTGCTGCTCGAATGCCACCTTCCCCAGCGGGGCAGCTAGGATGCAAGACCGTCCCAACTCAGGTCTTGCCTGGCAGAGCGGGGACCCTTGTGCACCCCGGGGCCTGTTTTGGGACACGCGTCCCCGCTGTAGCGGGCAGCAGCAGAACACCCTCCAACCCATCGACTTCTCTCCCAACCCCAGGTGGTAGTCAGTAAAGCGGCCATGATCGTGAACCAGCTCTCCAAGAAGGAGGCGTCCCGCCGCGCCCTGATGCAGTCGCCCCAGATCGTGGCGGCCGTGGTGCGCACCATGCAGAACACCAGCGACCTGGACACGGCCCGCTGCACCACCAGCATCCTGCACAACCTCTCGCACCACCGCGAGGGCCTGCTCTCCATCTTCAAATCAGGCGGCATCCCAGCCCTTGTCAGGATGCTCAGGTGCGGAGATGCAGGCGGGGAGCCCAGCGTGGCCTCTGGGGTGTCCCTGAGGGGACGGTAGAGCCAAGATGTCCTCCCTAGCCTTGCTGCAAGCCCCGTGGAGGTGGTTCCATGGTGCGCCATGGGTAGTACTACCTATGGTGCCCTGTGAATGGGGGCAGAAGGCTTGTGTAGAGTGAGATGTAGCTAGACCTGGGTCTGTCGTCTCCACTCACGCCACAACAATGATGTGGGAGACCTTGAGCCTATTTAAACTGAGCAAGCTGGGTGTCTGCTGCATTTGAAGACGTTATGGGTGCAGGAGGAGGGGAGCAACCCCTCAACTGCATTGTCCATGTGGCAACGCCTTGTCCACAGAGACCTGGGCTCAGTCTTTGCTGTGCTTCAAGGAGGAGATGCTCCTTTCACAGAGGGGTTCCTCAGCAACCCTGGGGCTGTGAGGCATGGCGGTGCTGTGCACCGTCCGTGCCCCAAGAGGAGTGTGGGGGGGGTGCTAGAAGTCACTCAGTGGGACACGCCACGCAGGGCACTCTGCCCTCGGGGCCGTGCTTGTGGTATTGTGAGCCTAGAGGGAGCTGCCCATGCTGATGTGGCTCTGTGCTGCCTGCCTGCAGCTCGCCGGTCGAGTCGGTCCTCTTCTACGCCATCACCACCCTGCACAACCTGCTGCTCTACCAGGAAGGGGCCAAGATGGCTGTGCGCCTGGCCGACGGCCTGCAGAAGATGGTTCCCCTGCTCAACAAGAACAACCCCAAGTTTCTCGCAATCACCACCGACTGCCTTCAGCTCCTCGCCTACGGGAACCAGGAGAGTAAGGTGAGCCCTTGGAGCCTGGCCTCCCTTGGCCGACTGTCTGCCTTGGTGACGCAGGGCCCTGCTGATAGAGGGAGGGATGGAGGTGGCTGCAACTGCCCAACCTCGCTCCTCTGGTGCGTCCGAACTCGCAGGCCAAAGCCTGGGAGGGCAGGGACGGGAGCGCCCATTGTCTCGGCCCTTCTGCCTCCTGGCAGCAGCCAGAAGCCGAGCAGTTGCATTGTCTGCAACTCTTTCATGTCCGACTTCCCACAGGTGGAATGTCCCCAAAAAGCACAGACTGTCCCAGTCTGGCCAGTAAATGGGCTCAGCTGGGTTTCTCCCACCCCTGCTCCAGGCAATGTCTCTATATTTGTTCTTAGGCTGTTTCTCTTCCTCCTACGCACTAATCGTTCCAGCCTCGTCTGGCTGCACTACGTGGGGCAGTGAAGTCGGGTACTGCTGACCTGCTCTGATGCTGGCTGTGGTGGCGGGGGGGTGATGCTGCCTGTCCTGCCCAGGGTGGTGAGACAGGGGATGGCCGTGCACAGGGCCCTAACGGCTCGGGGTGGGGGGGGGGGGGGGGGAACTAAGTGCTCCCGTATGCAGAGAAGTTGGACCTCTTGCCTGACTTGCATCCTAACTAGTGCCAGCTGGAGAAACCAGCCCAGCATTCTTGGAAGCTCTGCTCAGAGCCCTGCCAGAGCTGCCGTGTGCCCCAACCCTGGCCTTTTTGTCTTGCAGCTGATTATTTTGGCCAACGGAGGACCCCAAGCCCTGGTGCAGATCATGCGCAGCTACAACTACGAGAAGCTGCTCTGGACCACGAGCCGGGTGCTCAAGGTGCTGTCGGTGTGTCCCAGCAACAAGCCTGCCATCGTCGAGGCTGGTAAGGGAGGCACTGGGGGTGCTGCTACTGCAGAGATATTGTCTGTGGCCTCCTCCTGAAGCAAACAGGAGGATGACGGTGGATGAAGGATGATGTGGCAGCTCCCTGAGGCTGCTTTCCAGGGTGCCCTTTGGACAGGAGCCCAGTGCTATGGGCTCTGACCTCGTCCTCTTGCAGCAGTGACTCTGGTTGGCCCTGCCTGTGCTTGCCACTAGCCCTCATGTGATGTGCTGACCGTCCTCCTGGCCCTGTTTGCTCCCTTCTCATATGGGCACAGAGTGGCCAGGGGAAGTCCTGGGGACTTCGGCCACGAAGAAGTCCAAGGGGTCGCTGTCTTGCCTTGTTCAGGTTGCCAGGAGCTAGTGCCATCTCACAGCCGATGTGTAAGACACATCGGTGCCTTGCACAGCCAGGTAAAACCACCTTTGCGTGGCCTGGTCTCTTGCTTTAAAAGCCTGTCAAGACACTTTCCTGGGACTGTGCGTGGGCAGGAGCCAGTCATGCTGGCCGGCAGGGAACTGTCTTCCTGCACCGTATTTAGCCTCAGCTGAACGAGGCTACGTTGTGCGTTGGAGGCATCAGTCGAGTGGTATCCAGCCTACGTTTGCCATGCAAAGACCTGCTGTTGCTCCCTTTTCCTCTGTGCTAGGGAAGCTTTGCATGTCTGGATATTTATAGATGCGCCGTGTGTCTCGTTTTCCTGACAGGCGGCATGCAGGCTTTGGGCAAGCACCTGACCAGCTCCAGTCCCAGGCTGGTACAGAATTGTCTCTGGACCCTGAGAAACCTTTCTGATGTGGCTACCAAACAGGTGAGTCTGCAGGACCCAGAGTTGTGCTTCAGCACAGCCTTTTGGAGAGCTTCTCCAGGCCACGCCTGGGAACTGTGCCAGTCTGCCGGGCACTGGGCTTTCCCCTCTGCTGAGCCACTTGCTGATGCCAGACCAGCAAATCCAAAGTGTTGTCCTCGCCTTTGCATCCCTGCGAGCTGCCGGCTGCAGAGGCATGCTTGCCCTGGGGCTGGCCGAGAGGAGTCGTGCCTGAGTCCTGCAGAAGCGGGGGATTACCTGGAGTCTCAGGAGGCTGCTCCCTGCCCACGGCTGTCCCCGCACCGGCTAGCTGCGTCACTGTGCTGTCGGCGCTTGTGCTTCGTCCCCAGCTGAGGGACGAGGCCACCAGCAGCTCTGCTCACGCACGCAGCTCAGCAACGCTGGGGCTGCTGTTTGCTCTGACTCACAGGAGGCTCTGCCAGACTCTTCTGGCAGGCGCTCGCTGTCTGCCTGAAATCTTCCCCCAGCGAGGGACACGGATGCAGTGGGAGCTGTGGGGCACGGTGGAGGGGCTGGGTGGCAGCTGGCTGCGATGGTGACCCGGAGCTCTGCTCCAGGGCTGCTCTTCCCAGCCCTTTGCCGTCTCCTGATGTGTTCTCCATGTGGTGCTCAGGCCGTGTCTCCGCACAGATTAGCGCCTGATGCAGCATGGAAACTATTTGGGCTTGCGTTGGAAGGCATGTAACTCGGTCCCCTGGCTCCGCAGAGAGCGAGGGGAGGATGTGGCCGTGTCGCCTTTAACTCCTTCCTGGCCCTGCCCACGCTGCTCGCGGCTGCCCGTGCAGCTGCGATCTTCGTCGCGGTGACCCCAGGATTGTTCAGGGAGCGTTGGCTTCTCACGCTGCTCGGAGCAGCTGGAGGTTGTATTGTTTGCGTGTTTCCAGCAGGGAAAACCTGGTGGAGATGTTAAACTCTTAAGTAAAGCTGCACATGTGTGGAGCGCCTGTCACTCACGCTCTCCAAACAATGCAGAGAAATAGCCGTGGTTACATGAGCCTGGAGGACTGGGATTCTTGTGCTGGGAAAGGCTGCAGTGAGCAAGGCTTCCCTGCAGCCAGTAACCCTGCCTGGACGTGAACAATTGTTGGCCTTTGGCATGGGGAAGGGGCCGGCTGGGGGCCGTGGGATTGTGCAAGTCCTGTGCATGTTGAAATTTGGCAAGCTGCAGGCCTGGACAACAGTGTCTTTTGGGCCTCAAAGGGAGGCTGGTTCCCAGAGAAAGGTCAGCAGCTGAATGGTGCACTGTAGTGCCGAGATGGGCAGATCTCCACGTGTTGCAGCTAGATGCAAACACCATCGTCCTGCTTTCGTTGCCTGCTCTGGCCCGAGCAGAGTCTCGGAGCGGGAACAGTGGGGCAGGGCCAGGGGGAAACCCAGCATCCTTCTGGGAGGGCTTGGTGGGGGGACGCACAGGGTGGGGTCTGCAGCAAGGGGGTGTGTGAGCTCACACAGCTGCAGATGCCCATGCCTGGATCTCAAGGGAGATGGAGTCAGGTTTGGGAGGAAGAGCGCATGTTTGGGGTAGATCCTCTGAATGACAAAAGGAGCCGTCCTTGCAGGAGGGGAGCTCCTTCTCCCTGGTGCAGGGTGTCCTCCCCGTACAAAGGAGAAAGTGGCTCTGATCCCACACAGCCAGGAGGGGCAGAGCTCTGACCTCCTGTCCCTGCTCCTGCAGGAGGGCCTGGACGGTGTCCTCAAGATCCTGGTCAACCAACTGAGCTCTGACGACGTGAACGTGCTGACCTGTGCCACCGGCACCCTCTCCAACCTGACCTGCAACAACAGCAAGAACAAGACCCTGGTGACACAGTCTAATGGGGTGGAGGCCCTGATCCACACCATCCTGCGGGCAGGCGACAAGGAGGACATCACCGAGCCGGCTGTGTGCGCTCTCCGGCACCTCACCAGCCGGCACCCCGAGGCCGAGATGGCGCAGAACTCTGTGCGGCTGAACTACGGCATCCCTGCTATCGTCAAGCTCCTCAACCAGCCCAACCAGTGGCCCCTGGTCAAGGTAAGAGGCCAGCAGGCTTGGGGGAGAGGGGAACCCAGTGACTGGACTTGAGAGAGCCCCCCCAGGCTGCTGGTCCGTGGCAGGGGTGTGTTGCCTGTTGTGATGCTCGGCTGGTTCTGCAGCCGGTGCTGTGCGTGGAGCCTGCTTTGATTGTGCTGTTGCAGCCATGTTTCCGTAGGGCTGCGTCCTTGACGGCAGCTAATGGGAGGAAATTGCTCGTGCCCTGCTGCTTTACGGAAATCAATATTTGCCCCCAGTCTCCTCCGCAGGGAGGGAGGTGGATCCGGTGCCGGAGCGTGGCGGGGCTGCAGGAAGCTGAAGTCAGCGCATGCTGCACAGAGGGGGATGGGTCCGGGCCGGGACCGGCGTTGAGAGCGCCTGCAGGGTCGCTGCTCTTATCCCCGCTCAAGCTGAATCTCTCCTTCCTCTCCTCCTCTAGGCTACTATAGGTCTGATCCGCAACCTGGCCCTGTGTCCGGCCAACCATGCCCCGCTCCAGGAGGCCGCTGTGATCCCGCGCCTGGTCCAGCTGCTGGTCAAGGCTCACCAGGATGCTCAGCGTCACGTAGCGGCAGGCACACAGCAGCCGTACA